TATATATATACATATATATATATATACATATATATATATATATATATATATATATATATATATATATATATATACATATATACATATATATATACATATATAAATACATATATATATATATACATATCTACATATATATATACATATCTACATATATATATATATATATATATATATATATATATATATATATATATGTACATATATATATATATACATGACTGCCACGATGGTCCAGTGGTTAGCGCACTGGAAGAGTTCAATTCTCTGTCGCAGCGGTCGTAAAAATGCCTGCGGTCTGACTGCCGTTTCGAGCCCGAGAAAACGACATATCGCCTTGAGAAGACAAACGCAGGTGTCGTAGGGGAAGTCACCGCCGTGGCACAAGTGTTAACGCGCCGAACCGCGGTTGATTAGGAAGGGCATCCAATCAGGCAAGGGTGACACTGCCATATAACCTCTCAATAGTGAATTGAGAGAGGCTTATGTCCTGCAGTGGAATGAATGGCTCTTAAAAAAAAATCATTATTACATTATTATCTTGATTATTATTATCATTATCATGATTTTTATTATTAGCACTACTGTTATTATTATTATTATTATTATTATTATTATTATTATTATCATTATTATTATTATCATTATTATTATGATCATTATTATTATTATCCATATCATTATTATTATCATCATTGCTACCACTATCATTATTATTATTATCAGTATTATTATTATTATTATTATCATTATTGATATTATTATTGTCGTTGTTATTACTATTATCATCATCATCACTGTTATTATTATTATCATCATTATTATTATTATTATCCTTATTATTGTTATTAATATTAGCATTATGATTATGATTATTAACATTATCTTTATCACTATTATCATTATCAGTTTTGTTATTATTATCAATATTGTTTCATCAATATTATTATTATGATCATTGTTATTATTATCATCAATATTATCATTTTTCTTGTTATTTTCATTATTGTTATCATCATTATTATCATCGTCATTATTATTATCATTGTTATTACTGTCATTATCACTATTAATATTATTACTATTAATATCTTTATAATTGCCATTATCATTAGTAGTAAAGTAGGAATATTACTATCATTTTCATTATTATTATTAATATTTTTATCACTGTTGTTTTATTGCTGTTATCATTATCATTGTTATCATTATCATTGTTATCATTATCATTATTTTCATCATGTCATTGCTCTTATTACGGTCACTTTTATCACAATTATTAATATTATTAACACCATCATTGTTATCATTCTTACGCCAGTTAAGACGCAGACCAATGATTCGCGTATGCAAACGAGCCCGCACTGTCTTAGAAGTGGCGGGTATTGCCTGTATATATACCCCTCGTTCTGCCCAGACAAGGCAGAGAGGGAGAGAGAGCGAACACGGCCATTTCCACTGTTTGCCAGTCCTGTCCTGTCCAGCGGCAATTTTGTAAGCATGTGGGAAAATCTCCGAGATGTATACTTTTTCTGATTTGAGATTACGTATTGCTTTGTTGAAAATATACACCGGTACCTTGACATCATTCTTTTTTCTTTACAACCATATGGAATCATTAAAATTGTAACCTGGAGCCTCCAAGAAAATACGAACAGCAAATATCGGTTTGATGATAACTAACTAAATAATAAATCTAAATACTAATGATATAATTGTCATAATTAAGGTAATTAACAATAACTAAAAGATAACGACTTAAAATTACGGAAATGAGGATTAATATACTCTGAATCTTCACAAACATTAAGAGGAATATCTTACTATAAAGAACTTGTGCCACGCCTACCACGCTACTCTACTTTGCTATACGACAATCATTCTTATCATGATCATTAGCATTATCATAGTTATAATTACTGATGCTGTTATTATCATTTTCATTACTATTATTATTACCTTTATTGTATTACGAAGTGAAAAAATATATATATCTCTACTAAATATCTACTATAATCATGTACTTCACATCTTTTTCACCCTTGCAATAATTACACTAATGACAGGTAATTATGTGCAACGCGTGTGTACATGCTTATGTGTATCCATGCAATGAATCAAACGTTTTGCGTGTAAAAAAAATTATCAACACATACGTTTTCCATTTGAAATTCACAACCTATGTCAATGTTTATTTCTTTGGTCATGGTCAGTGTTCAGAATTTTTTTTGTAATATTCTTAAAATTTATTCAAGAAGCTAACTCAGATTTTTTTTTTCCTTTTATTACGACAGTGCTCGACAGTAACAGCAACAATAATAATAAAAGTGATAATAAAACTGACCTAAGGCTTTTCAAGGCGCCAGAGTACGATGGGTTATATCCATACATCAGGCCGATTAGCATATCAGTGATCTGTGGTACGTACTGCTGGTGTCCAGTTGCCTGTCCTTTTTGGAGAATTAGGTTCTAGTGTGCTTGTCCTCTTTGTAGATATGGAGTAGCATGTGCTTGTCCTCTTTGTAGATATGGAGTCGCATGTGCTTGTCCTCTTTGTAGATATGGAGTCGCATGTGCTTGTCCTGCTTGTAGATATGGAGTCGCATGTGCTTGTCCTCTTTGTAGATATGGAGTCGCATGTGCTTGTCCTCTTTGTAGATATGGAGTCGCATGTGCTTGTCCTGCTTGTAGATATGGAGTCGCATGTGCTTGTGATATGGAGTCGCATGTGCTTGTCCTCTTTGTAGATATGGAGTCGCATGTGCTTGTCCTCTTTGTAGATATGGAGTCGCATGTGCTTGTCCTGCTTGTAGATATGGAGTCGCATGTGCTTGTCCTCTTTGTAGATATGGAGTCGCATGTGCTTGTCCTGCTTTGTAGATATGGAGTCGCATGTGCTTGTCCTGCTTGTAGATATGGAGTCGCATGTGCTTGTCTCTTTGTAGATATGGAGTCGCTGTCCTGCTTGTAGATATGGAGTCGCATGTGCTTGTCCTCTTTGTAGATATGGAGTCGCATGTGCTTGTCCTCTTTGTAGATATGGAGTCGCATGTGCTTGTCCTGCTTGTAGATATGGAGTCGCATGTGCTTGTCCTCTTTGTAGATATGGAGTCGCATGTGCTTGTCCTGCTTGTAGACCTGGTGTTCCATGTGCTTGTCCTGCTTGTAGACCTGCTTGTAAAATTAAGATAACAAAACCGAGAACTCTTGCCTGCTCCTCTTGTGGTGCAAATGTATACCCTTACTTTAGTTTGACTCCTTACGTTAAGCCACAGCCACCTAAGGTTTGCTCAGTTTGTGGCGATTTACTTAAGCTGCGGAGAAACTTACGCTGGCCTCGTCAGACGTGTTTCCGAGATCGCAGCAAATTAATTATTAATACTGATACTACTACTAATAATAATAAGAGTATTAATAATGATAATAACAACAACGGCAACGATAACAACAAAACAATAATGATGATAATAATGATAATAATAATGATAATGATAATAATAATAATAATCAAAACTAATGATAATATATACTAACATCGAAACGTTAAACTATGCGAGTGCGATGATGGAGCCTAGACTTCGGATTAAGATGACTATTAGAATTAGAATTTTGTATAAATTCTTACATCATGATATACAGGCAATCGTTGATTACAAACTTCAATTGACGCCGAAGTCACGGCTCTAGCGTCGCATTCGGACCATTTGCGGTAATGGCGGAAACCGTGCTCCGTAGTTTAATATCATTCATAATTTAATTATAATTATATATAATATATCGATTTACAATTTATTAATATAAGAAGTGCATTCTGTGTCGAGAAGGACCATCATTTAATTCATTTATATTTCATCATTCATTCAAAGAGAGGAAAAGAAAAAAGTCAGGTATGTTATATATCCATTGATTATTTGATTTGCACTGAAAATTATCAAATAAATTATTTATCTATCATTTATTTTAATGGTGGAGGAATCGCAGAGCCAATTGTATATCATCATCAAATTAGTTAAATATCAGGTCTATATCAGTTATCTATTTGTTTTTTGTTTTTTCTTCCCATGGAGGAAAAAAGAAAGTAAATTATATATCAATCAACTTTTTTCTTCCACGGAGGAATCACCAAAATAAACTATCTATCTATCTATCTATCTATCTAATCTGTTCTTTAACCCTTTTCTTCATTTTTCCTCTCACAGAGATAACACCATAAACATATCTCTCTTATACACATATTTTTTTCCACCATTTTACACAAGACTACGATGAAAAAGCATTCGAGATTCCGAAACGGAGCGAAGTGAAACGAGTGAATCCCTTTGTGAAGCTTTAAAACTCGACCTCAAAAACACCGATTTTTTTTTTAAAGATTTTAAGGAAATAGCTTTGAAGTTATTCACCCCGGAAGCAGGGTGAAATGACGAAAGTTTAAAAAAAAAAAGGACTAGTAATTATGAACCTCGAGCACGGAACGTATCAAGAAAATAGTATTCAGATATTTTATTAATTGAGGCGATCTGTAAGCAATGGTTCATAAAGGTTAAATTATATTTCTGGTCTGTGGTTTTATAGTCTTTGTGGGATATTTCGTGAAGGGTCTTTTTATGCGGATATTAGGGATGATAGCTGTTTTCGGTATCGGTGATTCTGTCCTAATCTTGCATTTATATATATATATGTGCGTGTGTGTGTGTGTGTGTGTGTGTGTACGTGTGTGTGTGTGTGTGTGTACTTCTGTGTATGTGTTTGTGTGTGCTTCTGTGTGTGTGTGATTTTGTGTGTGTGTGTGTGTGTGTGTGTCTGTGTGCGTGTGTGTGTGTGTGTGTGTGTGTTTGTGTGTGCTTCTGTGTGTGTGTTTGTGTGTGCTTCTGTGTATGTGTGTGCTTGTGTGTATGTGTGTGTGTGTGTGTGTGTGTGTGTGTGTGTGTGTGTGTGTGTGTGTGTGTGTGCCTTAAATTTCTACATCTCATTCTCTCAAAACAGGAAATGAAAAACATACAAATGATCCATGATTTAATGAATGATGACAGTATCCATGTATTTTTTTAAAAATACAAATGTATGAACATGACGTGTGTATATACAGCAATGATTATCAGCCAACAACCCTAATCAGGGCATTGCTTCATTGATTATGCAACTTAAAATTACCAACCAATTTTTCTGTCGTTTTCTTCAACTGCTATACTGAAGAATAAACATACTATTCTTTCTTAATAATCATAATATACTTACTGGGATATACCTGATATCATATGGCCTACTGAAATGAACACATATATATAAATATATATATGCATTTGTTTATTGTGAGCATTTTAGTCTATATGAATAAGAAATCATATGTACAAGATTCCAGTAAATGCCTCAAGAACGGGTCGGTCTTTGTGAAAAGTTCTAAAACTATATGACTTTTATTAGTGGGTTTATTTGCATTCCAAAGTTTCAATAATTTTGACGTCACGTTTCAAGTCCACTGTTACATAATCGTCTGCTTCTGTAAATCATTGTAATGTTAGTCCTGTCTTTGTTTAATTTGTTTGTCTATATTGTCCTTGTCTTTTTTCCGTTTATTTTTCTTAAGTTATCTTTGTTATATCTGTCAATTTTTGTCCCTAAATGTTGTCAGTTTTGGTCATAAATGTCTAACTTTTGTCATGTTTTGTCATAAACGTTTGTAACTTTTGTCATAAATGTCTAGTTTTGTCAATTATTTTCATAAATGTCTAGTTCCGTCTCTTTTTCCATGCATTTATATCCTGTTTGTCTATCCATGTCCTAGATTTGTCTTTACTGTTATCTACTGTTTTCATCTTCGTCTGTTTTCTTTTGTCTCTATCTACTTCCTGTCGTTTCTCTCATGACGTAACCAATTTTTCTTTCCTTGTTCATGCTAAGTGTCTCTCGTTATCTCATTAGTCTGTCTTCGTATAATTCTTGTGTGTTTCTTTACTTTTTCTTCTTTATTATCCTCTTTCTATCATAACTTTTCCTTCTTTTTTCTTCTTTTTCTATTTATGCCTTTATTCCGATTCCAACAAGTTTCCATTTTTTTCTGCCTTCATATACATTGTTTTTCATCACATTCCACGACACCCTCTGGCAATCTCTAATATCTCACATGTAACTAACTGTTTATCGTTAGCGATCTTCTTCTTTCACAAAATAAATTAACTTTAGACCAGATCTCACTCAATACTAAACTAAGATATTCATACACCCTACACTTACATATTTACATATATTAATATAATACAT